ACCGACAATGACTCCTATTCGTTCCGACCGGCGGATCTGAATAAAACCGATCCCGGGCTTTCCTCGATCGCCGCGAACCTTCGTAATCGACGACGTCTATGCCGCCTCTTTAGTCCGCGACCGGCTATCCACGGGATCCTCATCGAATCTCTCCTTTATCCGACGCTCCCGAGAATATTGTTACACTGTGCTCGGTTACGGTATGTCCCTCTTAAACAGGAACATAATTCTCGTTTGCAGAACATCGCAACGGGAGCAGAAAGAATGGACATTCTGCTCGCTTCGGTCGCCCAATACCGTGGGAATGAACGGTCGCGGGGCGCATGCTGCCTCTGATTTATTTACTTTTTTCGGAGAATATTACTTATATTATTATATTCTTTATTTATTATAAATTATTTATATAATATAATATATTTATATCATATATATTATATATATTATTATATATTATAATATAATATAATATAATTAAATATATATATAATAATATTATATTATATTATATTTATATAATATATTACGCTTCGTTTCTCGTCCGATAATCGGTCTTCGCACGTTTCTCGAGTTGAACGCGTATCGACAAAAATAAAAACATTCGTACTCGGGAATTTTTATCTCGGAAACCGTCGATCGTATCGAGATGCGACCTATTTTAGTTTCACTCGGGGAGGATCGATCTTTCCAAACAAATTTTCATCCGATCAGAAAATCGTTTTCACAGCCCTGAAAATTGCGAAGAAACTCCTATTTTTGAGTTATGGGCTCGAGATCGCGAATAAGTTCGTAGCGTTTTTATTTGAAGGCGATTTTCTTTGTTGTTTTCGCGAAGCTCGCGAGGCACCCAGGCTCCCAATTGTTCGGCAAATCCCAACGAACGAAGATGATCGAGAATCGTTTTATGATCGCAGTTCATTTTTTCGGCCAATTCACGACTCGTTCGGTGACCGTCCTCATTCGAAAGTGCTTCGAGACGCTCTTCGTTGAATTCAGAAGGTCTTCCGCCGCGGGGCGTGTCGTCGACGTCAAAATCGCCATTTTTGAACCTCGCGAACCATTTCCGTGCTGCAGACTCGCCTACGACACTTTCTCCGTATACGTTGCAAATGTCCCGGGCTGCTTCGGCAGCTTTTTGGCCTCGATGAAAAAGCGAAGAAGAGAAGATGTCGAAAATGTTGCTTTCTACCGCCTGGATATTCCATTTCTAAGCCTCTAAAGTAATAAAAGATTAAATTACTCGAAAAGACGATTAGCACAGTTTCGTAGAGCAGAAAGAGCTCTATCGAACGAATATTGTACACTTTGTGAAACAACAAAAAATCATTGTCAAATAAAAGGGAATACAAAAACTCTACGAACTTACGAAGCTACTTACTACGAACGCTACGAAGCCTCAAAAGTAATAAAGAATAAAATTACTCAAACAGACGTTTAGCACAGTTTCGTAGAGCAGAAAGAGCTCTATCGAACGAATATTATACACTGTGTCAAACAGCAAAAGATCGTTCTAAAATAAAAGAAAATATAACAACGCTACGAACTTATTCCCCAACCTAATACTTATTCAAATTCCTCGGTCTTTTCTCTGCAACAGTTGGGCTCAATACACAATAAGTCATCGCGTTCTTCTCTCGTCTGTATTGGCCGTTCGGCAGAGAACGCGATGACTTATCGGCCAATCTAATATATGTTTTATAGTAAAATCCCGAGGAGCCGACGGGGTACCGTTCGAGAGCCGGGTGGACGGTGAAAAATCGCGGGATAGAAACGCGCGAGGATCCCGGCGGAAGGCAATCAGCTTAGGCCTTTCCGGGCGAACGGTGTGGAAGGGCCATTACCCGGGAGTATCAGGAACGATGTAAATCATTTTTGTGCAGTTACGCGCAACAACATGGGAACAAATGGTACGCCCGGCCAGGGGCCCGTGTTTCCCTTTCGTCTGCAACATGCGCGTATCCAGTGCGTTGCGCAATTATGTAAAGCCCCCGACAACTTTCTCATCTCTATCTCCCATGTCGTATGGTAATAACCATTGTAAATGGTAATTCCACGGTGTCCGCGGACACGGAATCGACGCGGACTTTTTCCCGCCGCGCACCGTGGCCGCCTTGTTCTTCCACGGGATCTTGGTAGCCGTGATTCTGATGGAACTGTTCGAGCCGCGATCGCTGGATCGGCGCACAAGTATGTTTCTCCTAAGCGGGCGGACCATTCGAGTACCATTCGAGGAAAATTTATCGAAGTATTTATCGAGGTCGCGTCGACCGGTAAATAACGGCTCGGAAAGAGATCGGTGTGATCGTGTGTGTCGATGAAACTGTTCGGGGTCGTAAATCTCTGGGAAATGAGGAGCCGGAGAGCATTTTAGACAAATTTATTCGATTATTTAACTCTTTGGGGCACGGTAAGATCGAAAATGTCCTATTTTCTTTTTGTATGCACGGTAATGCATCGCGAGATATTTTTAGACCCGACTCGAAATATTGCGATAGCTGCGTGCGCATTCAGGAACCCATGCGACACGTTAGGGCTATTCGAGTTCTACCCTGTAACAATAAATTGAATAGAATTATTATTATTTTGTACGTTTCTATATTATGTGATTCCTTTGTTGATAAAACTATGGCAATTTTGGTTAATTTGAGACACAATTTTCCTTCGGCTTTTGAACAGAAATGTACAATTTGGGAGGAGGAGATACGATTGTTCGAGCCTCGAATATTTTAATTTTTTTTTAAATTCGTATCGCATCCATGAAAGGGTTGGATCATCGACCGATAAATGGACCGCGGATCTTTATGCGAGATAAAAGTCTCCGTCATCGATTTCAAAAAATAAGAATTTAATTATTATATATATTATATTATTATATTATATTATTATATATAATTATTATATATTATATATTATATTTCAAGAAATAAGAATTTATATTATTATATTATATTATATATTATATTATTATTATATTATTATATATTATATATTATATTTCAAGAAATAAGAACTTAATTTATAACAGTTTTAATCATTTTCAAAATAGCATGCTATACGTTCCTCCCGTTTCGTGTTACCAGTTTTCTCATAGATGTATAATCGCGGTCCACTGATAAGTACCAGTCGCGAAGATCCTGGAAGATTAAAGTAAGCCGATCGATGAAATCGAAATGAAGAGAGAGAAACAGGCCCGACGGCAGGCGATACTTCTCAGCGTTACCATCTTCTTTTCTTTTTTTTCTTTTTTTTCAATTCTCGGAGAAGTCGTCGGGGGCCCTCCCAACGCGTTTCCGTCGTCAGCGATCGGAAACATGCTAGGAATGCTCGCTCCTGGCGGCTGCTTCTGCTTTAGGCGATCGGTATCGGCTCGCGAACGGAATACCACTTCGTCCACTTGAGATTTCAATGGCGTCCGGATCGCTTTCCCTTCGAAATCTTCCCGCGAAATAATTCATGATCCATCTACGCTCGTGGGGGCCGTCGAACTTGGGGCTGTGAAGGAACTTTGCGAGGTCGCGAGGTCAAGTAGGTTCAGGTTGCTCCCAATTCCGCGGTTGTTCGATGAAAAATGTGATTCGTGCAAGTTAAAATGCATAAAGTATGATTATAAAATCTGTAAAATTTGTAAAATCTGTAAAATTTGTAAAATCTGTAAAATCTGTAAAATCTATAAAATCTATAAAATCTATAAAATCTATAAAATCTATAAAATCCATAAAATCCATAAAATCTATAAAATCTACAAAATCCATAAAATCTACAAAATCCATAAAATCTATAAAATCTACAAAATCTATAAAATCCATAAAATCTATAAAATTATAAAATACGTGAAGTACGAAGCATGGCACGTAGAAAATACGAAATAAACAAAATTCGACCAATGCGTGCATAAAACACGCGATTCCACTACTACTATATTTGAAACAATACATCAATCCCCGCGCAGAGTGTCCCAAATTACCCTAGCACCACTCTGAACCACCCCCTACAAAAGTAAACATCTTGTCGCCTCGTTAGCATAATCGACAAGCCGTCCTTTTTCTTTCGTACCCGATGTCGCCGATCTCGTATCTCGTTTGAAGCGTTCCGCGACGTGTTGCCGGCGATGTAGCAAAATGACGGCATGAATTGCAAATCAGGGGTAATCTAAACACCGTGTGAAATTCGAGCGTATCGGTAGCGACGGCCGATTTCCGGGGCGTTTCTCGCGTCGCCGTGGCGGCTCGAGGATCCGCTCCGAACAAACGCGTTGCAAAGTGAGTCGTTCGCGGGTGTCCGAGGGTGAGATGGGGGGTGGGAGGTGGGTGGGTCGTGATTTCGCGTGTTTCGCGCGGCAATTTCGAATCGGCGATCGGCGCTGACAGGCCCCGGGGGCGTCTTTGCATAAAACGGCGAGCCGAAGGGCGAGGAGCGAGGAGCGAGCAGCGTCGGGGCCGGCTGTCGGACGCGAGACGACGCGGGGCCCGGGACCGAGACAGCGTTGGCTCGCTGGCACGGGCAGGAAGATCGCCTGTCGTTACCTATTAGTCAAGGGGAGCTTGTAATTATTAGCGGGACGACTGGTAGCCATTAGCGTTAAGGAAATATCTCGTCCGACACTCGGCGCGTTACGCCTCGAGCTCGACTGGTCCGCGGCCTTCGTCCGATACCGCATGCTTCGATCTTCCTCTCCTCTCCTCTCCTCTCCTCGCCGTTTCTGTCTCGGTCTGGCCAGTCTAGCCGGCCTGAATTTTGATATCCTCCGCGCTGGCAATTATCGGCGACCCCGGGATAACCGGCCGCCGGTATTATAAACAAGCCGGGCATTAGGAGTTGTAATTTATTGCGGTTAACCGGCCGCGAGACGGTTACCCGTATCGTAATGGCGTGTTACCGATCGGCCTCCGTTAACGAGCCTGGTTTTCCACTTTTTTTGCCTCCGACAATTAAATTTCAATTAACTCGACCGGCGAAAAATCGAGACTGATCGTTCGATGGGGGCCACTCTTCTCTGTTCGCAGGCAGACGGTCGTCGATGAACTAGAGGATATGTTCGCCAGGTTCTGCAGACAGGCTCCGAACGGTGAGTCTTTCCAATCAGCTATGTTATTTATTACCATCGTCTTCGGTTTCGAATCCCATTTTATAGCGCCGATCCCCGGCGAAACGCTTCGCAAATAATCGCGCGATGCCCGAGAATATCGTCCGTTCGGATTGGACGGATACGGGTCCCTCGCGCGACAAGATGGCACCTTCGCGTTTACGTATTTTCATCAATAGCCGAGACGTTTCGAAAGAGAAACGCGATGCGGAGATATTTTACCGTTTCTTGTAACATAATGCCATTGTCCGCGACGCTATTGTTATTGTATTTAGTGCGATAGTGGTGGATTTCTAGTTAAAAAAAAAACAGATTACCGTTCGTAACGACTAAATTATTATTAGGGAAATGTCTCCCTTACCGACGCTCGGATTCTCCGCTAAAATGGATAATTTGGGAAGAGGAGATACGATTATTCGAGCCTTGCGGCTCGCATCACCTTATTTTATAATTATGGACAATTTATAACTATAAAAATAAACCGCAAGGCTCGAATAATCGTATCTCCACTTCCCAAATTGTCCATTTTTGTACGCAATCTGGGCGTCAATTAGAGAGACATTACTTTATTCTGATTTTTAACGAGTGTTATTGTAACATTTGCCGTAAGTACCGTATAAATTGAATAAATAACTCATAAATGTATCTCTACGAGATGAACAATTGTAAATGAAACAATTAGTGAGCCGCCATTTTGACGGGTTCCGTGAATATAGCGTTAAAAAGTCTTTAGTTAGTCTTTGTTAATAAGACTAGTATTATACTAGTATTACTGTTATAGACTAGCATCAGTTAGAAAGCAAATATGGAATTTCAGAGATCAATTTTTTGTTTTTCTTTTATTTTTGTTTGTTTGATTTTTCAACGCCGCACGTCGCACCGCGCGATCGCGGCGACAGAAAGAGTCACCGAAGTCCGAGCAAGTTTCGTCAGCTTAAAGCAGGGGTGTCAAACTCAAAAGCTAACTTGGGCCATAATAATAAATAAACAATGCTTAACTTTATTATATATAATAATATATATTATATTATATTACAATGTACTAGTCAAAATAAAAATATTTGTTTCTATGAACATTGATCTTTATCTTATATATATATACATTTTTGATGTCAAGCATCAGGACGTAAACAATAATTTAACTTTATATATATATATTATATTATATTATATATAAGATATATTATATTATATATATATATATATATATATATATATATATATATATATATATATATATATATATATATATANATAATATATATATATAAAGTTAAATTATTGTTTACGTCCTGATGCTTGACATCAAAAATGTTCATCTCGGGCCGCGAGATCGACACCCCTGGCTCAAAGGATCGTTTCGAAGGAAGCTTCGCCGAGGAACGGTGGCTGGCGGCGGGCAGCGTTGGGAGACGGCCAAAATGGCGTCGAAAAATGACGGGACGGCAGTCCCGTTGCGTCGAAACCGACTTCGGTTTCGCCGGGACGTTGTAATTAATACGAGTAAGCGGCTGTTCCTCGGTGGCCCGTCCCTCGTGAACTTAGTCAGAGACAATGGGGGGACTCGCGCGATATATCACTGCCGCCTGCGCGCATCCCTCTTATAGGTAGCGCGGGCTGGGGGGCTGCGGGGACCGTTGCCCAACGCGAAGGCGCGGCAGGAGACGATCCGCCGTGATTTACGGTCGTGTCCGGCTACCGATTGTCGACTTTTCCCGACTTATAATAAATAGAAACGGCGGCGGGGGGAGGGTCGCGGCGGAGGAGGGCGACGACGAAGAAGAAGAAGAAGGGAGAAGAGTCAGCAGCAGCGAGAGTCCCGTCGGTCCGGGAAGAGGCTCCTCGCCGGAGGAGATCGGTCCGTTTACGGCGGCGCTTGGGCATCGATGACTACGATACCGGAGCCTAGAAAATGACGATTCCCTTAGAAGGCAGGGAGCCGGTGGCTTTGAGCTCCTCTGGCCGGCCGGTTTTTCAATAATTTCTTTTCCGTCGCCGTTTTCCCGTCGATCGAAACCTCGGGACCGTTTCCGCCGAGCTCCGCCGTGCTTTTTCCCTGGAAAAGGTCAACGAGACGGGGGATCAGGAAGGATAGCGGGGAGATACCTCCGGACGGCGAAGTACGACTAGAAGCAACCGACGGCCGTCTTGAGTTACAACGACGGAGGAGGCCGCGGCACTTCCGGGTTGCGGATGAAAGAGCCGTGGCCCTTTAGGTAGTAGCCATGAACAGCTTGTTGAACACGCCTTAACCTCGGCGACCTTGGCTCCGCGGCATGGCCTGGCCAGGCATGCCCAGACTCTCGCCGGTTATTAATACGAATGAAGAGGAATCTGCATAAGGCATAGCCCCAGCCGGCAACGGAGACGAGCGACGAGAAATCTCTGCTTCAACGATCCCGACGGCGCTCCGAAGTTCTTTGCTTTCTTTCTTGGTCGAGCTGGATCGCTCGGCCGGAGTTCGTCCGCTCGATATCGATCGAGCTCCTCGATCAGTTTCTTCGGCAGTTCGGCAGATCGGCAGTTTCTTCGGTTTTGCGGAAGCGTTAATTCTTTGGTAATTGAGGACTTCGTTGATTGTTTTTAAGGATTGCAGGTGCTAACGTTTCCATCGCGTTGCGTACCCTGCGAGAAGATCGAATAGAATAGATGAAGTGGAATGAGAAAGTGAGATCAAATAAAATGGATAAAGGAGAACAAGGAAGTAATATAGATACCAAACTGTTCCATTATCTGAACATATTATAGTGATTTCTTCCAGAAATGTTCGGAGGTCGGAATTGAAACCGACAGATTGGAGAATACTAAGCCGCGATTCCACGAGCTTCGCGACTTGTTTTTATAGTGAAAAAGGCAGCGACCAGCATTCCGGTGTAAATTAGTGTGAAAACGATGACTTAACTTTTTTATTTCTAATTTTTTGCCTCGATTCGAAGGCAATTCGGAGGCCATGTGACACGATTTCATGATCAGATGTCACGATTTGAAGGCAATTCCGAGGCCATCTGACACGATTCGAAGGTCACATGTCACGATACGAAGGCAATTCGGAGGCCATGTGACTCGATTCGAAGGCAATTCAGAGGCCACATTCCACGATTCGAAAACAANTTTACGTCCTGATGCTTGACATCAAAAATGTTCATCTCGGGCCGCGAGATCGACACCCCTGGCTCAAAGGATCGTTTCGAAGGAAGCTTCGCCGAGGAACGGTGGCTGGCGGCGGGCAGCGTTGGGAGACGGCCAAAATGGCGTCGAAAAATGACGGGACGGCAGTCCCGTTGCGTCGAAACCGACTTCGGTTTCGCCGGGACGTTGTAATTAATACGAGTAAGCGGCTGTTCCTCGGTGGCCCGTCCCTCGTGAACTTAGTCAGAGACAATGGGGGGACTCGCGCGATATATCACTGCCGCCTGCGCGCATCCCTCTTATAGGTAGCGCGGGCTGGGGGGCTGCGGGGACCGTTGCCCAACGCGAAGGCGCGGCAGGAGACGATCCGCCGTGATTTACGGTCGTGTCCGGCTACCGATTGTCGACTTTTCCCGACTTATAATAAATAGAAACGGCGGCGGGGGGAGGGTCGCGGCGGAGGAGGGCGACGACGAAGAAGAAGAAGAAGGGAGAAGAGTCAGCAGCAGCGAGAGTCCCGTCGGTCCGGGAAGAGGCTCCTCGCCGGAGGAGATCGGTCCGTTTACGGCGGCGCTTGGGCATCGATGACTACGATACCGGAGCCTAGAAAATGACGATTCCCTTAGAAGGCAGGGAGCCGGTGGCTTTGAGCTCCTCTGGCCGGCCGGTTTTTCAATAATTTCTTTTCCGTCGCCGTTTTCCCGTCGATCGAAACCTCGGGACCGTTTCCGCCGAGCTCCGCCGTGCTTTTTCCCTGGAAAAGGTCAACGAGACGGGGGATCAGGAAGGATAGCGGGGAGATACCTCCGGACGGCGAAGTACGACTAGAAGCAACCGACGGCCGTCTTGAGTTACAACGACGGAGGAGGCCGCGGCACTTCCGGGTTGCGGATGAAAGAGCCGTGGCCCTTTAGGTAGTAGCCATGAACAGCTTGTTGAACACGCCTTAACCTCGGCGACCTTGGCTCCGCGGCATGGCCTGGCCAGGCATGCCCAGACTCTCGCCGGTTATTAATACGAATGAAGAGGAATCTGCATAAGGCATAGCCCCAGCCGGCAACGGAGACGAGCGACGAGAAATCTCTGCTTCAACGATCCCGACGGCGCTCCGAAGTTCTTTGCTTTCTTTCTTGGTCGAGCTGGATCGCTCGGCCGGAGTTCGTCCGCTCGATATCGATCGAGCTCCTCGATCAGTTTCTTCGGCAGTTCGGCAGATCGGCAGTTTCTTCGGTTTTGCGGAAGCGTTAATTCTTTGGTAATTGAGGACTTCGTTGATTGTTTTTAAGGATTGCAGGTGCTAACGTTTCCATCGCGTTGCGTACCCTGCGAGAAGATCGAATAGAATAGATGAAGTGGAATGAGAAAGTGAGATCAAATAAAATGGATAAAGGAGAACAAGGAAGTAATATAGATACCAAACTGTTCCATTATCTGAACATATTATAGTGATTTCTTCCAGAAATGTTCGGAGGTCGGAATTGAAACCGACAGATTGGAGAATACTAAGCCGCGATTCCACGAGCTTCGCGACTTGTTTTTATAGTGAAAAAGGCAGCGACCAGCATTCCGGTGTAAATTAGTGTGAAAACGATGACTTAACTTTTTTATTTCTAATTTTTTGCCTCGATTCGAAGGCAATTCGGAGGCCATGTGACACGATTTCATGATCAGATGTCACGATTTGAAGGCAATTCCGAGGCCATCTGACACGATTCGAAGGTCACATGTCACGATACGAAGGCAATTCGGAGGCCATGTGACTCGATTCGAAGGCAATTCAGAGGCCACATTCCACGATTCGAAAACAATTCGGCGACCACATGCCACGATTCGAAGGCAATTCGTAGACACAA